AGAGAGAGAGAGAGAGAGAGAGAGAGAGAGAGAGAGAGAGAGAGAGAGAGAGAGATAGGGCCTTGCATGCAGCCCAGGCTGGCCTTAAGCTCACATGGCATGCATCACCGGGGAGAGAACTAGGGACCGTGTGCTTGCCACATAGCTGCTTAGACTCCTGAGCTATCTCCCCAGCTTCCATCAAATTCATACTGATCCTCCTGCCTCGGCTTCCAGAGGGCTGGAATTCAGACCCATGTCACCATGCCCAGACTAAACTTTGTTTAATTTAAAGGTCTTCAGTGTCACAGTGTGTAATAAACTCTATTTGGGACACTTTAGCATCAAGCCTCTCTTCCTAAAACTAATTATAATCTATTGATTTTTAAAAAAATACATATTTGATATAGGGTCTAGCTACGCAGTTCAGACTTGCAGCTCAGACTTGCAGTGATCCTCCTGTCTCAACCTCCCCAGCACTGGTATTATAGGTGTGTGCCACAGTGCCTGAGGTTCTGGGCCAGCACAGTATGTGCTACCCCACACAGCACCCAGGGATTAAACCTTGCCCTTGCCAGGCAGGCACTTAGACTGCTGAGCTATCTCCCCAGCCCATCTATTTGTTTCTTAATACAAAGATATATATTATAGAATGATTCTTATAAAATCTTACATGTTCTCTCAAACCTGAGTCTAGCATTTCCAGTTTTAGAATTCAACTGTACTAGGCCAAGGTGAAGAGAACAGTTTTTTGAATGTTTGAGACAGGACTTCACTCTGTATCACTATGTATCACTAGATACATACAAAGAACAACAAACTCTTACTCTTTCAGCCTCAGCCTCTTGAGTGCTGGGATTATAGGAACATGCCATCATGCCTGGCTTGAGACTGACATTTGTGATGCTCAAAATTATCTTTAAAGGGACTAGGGAGATAGCTCAGTGGAACAAGCGACTGCCAGGCAAGGACAAGGACCTGAGATCAATCCCTAGTATGGCATGCTGTGCTGGCCCCAAAACCCCAGGCATGGTAGCACCTGCCTGTAATCCCAGTGCTGGGGAGGCTGAGACAGGAGAATCACTATGAGTCTGAACTGCATAGTGAGACCCTGTATCAGATAAATAATTAAATAAATTTTTCAAAATTATCTTTAAAAATTGTTTTTAGAAAAGGACAACTGGAAAAAAGAAAAAAAAACAATAAAAGGACAGCTGGGCATAGAAGTGCATGCCCGTAATTCCAGCACTGGGCTGAGGTAGAAGGGTTGCTGTTGAGTTTGAGTCAAACCTGGGCTACACAGAGTTCAAGGCCTGTATGAAATACAGAAAAAAAGGAAGAAAAAATAAAAAGAGAGAGAGAGAGAGAGAGAGAGAGAGAGAGAGAGAGAGAGAGAGAGAGAAAAGAAATAGCAGGGTTTTTTTTCTGGTCTCAAAAAACATCAAAAAAAATAAGACAGGGACCACCTGCTCAGGTCCCCCCTTCTGTCCCTCTCTTGGACAGAAGCTTTCTTTCCCCTAACAAATATATTCCATTCTTTGAAAAAAATTATTTAAAAATTTGTTTTAAAAAGCTGAAATAGAGTTGGAGCCTTAAAGCTTCTTTCTTTGTATATGTGGACAGATCAAGAATCTTCTGAGATTAAAGAATATTCACTGGAGTAATAATTATGGCAAAAGAACTTCAGAACAAAAAAATCTTAGCTGGGCATGGCGGCACACGCCTGTAACGCCAGCACACTGGAGGCTGAGGCAGGAGGATTGCTGTTTTAGGCCAGCCTGAGCTATGCAGTTCAAGGCCAGTATCAACTACACAGTGAGACCCTGTCTCAATAAATCTCTGGAGGGTGGGAGATGATCTGATTAGGACACCAGCTGGGGGCTTTAACAGGACACCTAGCCGTAGCCACCTTCAAAACCAGACATACATTTATTGGACATCTATTTACTCATGACACAGTTCTGGTTCTTGGGCTCGAGGCACTGCTGCACCCCTCGGAGGGCTGTGGATGGACAGCTGGCTCCATGCCCATAGTTTCAGATTCAGCAGATCTGGGCGGGGCTGAGGAACCTGTGTGCTGCTGGGCTCTAGAGGCAGCCACTGCAGGCCTAGGAGCCCCAGCTTTAAAAAGGCACCATGGAAAGAAGTTTACACTGTCCTTCTCACGAACACTGCACTTGGGCCTTACCTTTATCATCTGCTTGCAGACTCGCATGAGTGTATAGTCGAGTTCCGGGTCCATCATCTCTGTCTCCTGCAGCTTAAATACTTTCTGATGACAGCGGGTACTCAGTTGCTTCTTGTTTTCTTTCAGACATTCAATAATCTATGACATAAAGAGCTATAGTCAAGCAGGGGTGTGTCAGGGCATTGAGTTCTTAAGGCATGCCCCCATTTTTTACCCAAACACCTTCAAGTTCCCAGGCAGCAGGAATCAGGACTTCCTCAGCACTTAACAGATTCACAACCTTAGGGCCAGTGCCAAACCAAACTGTAAAAATCCAGGATGACTAAGCAGGCTTCAAAAGGGAAGAGAACTCACTTTGATCTGCCTTTCAGATTCCCTGAGGGTACACATGAGGCTCTCTGCATGTGCTGGAGGAACAACTCTGACTCAACAGGAGGCTCAAACCAGCAGATTCAACTCAACTCATCGTATACCACATGAGAAGAGCGTGGTAGATGCTATGTTTATGTTAGACCCAATCCCTGGCCCTGACAAACACAATCCCCATGGCAAGCTACAAATATATATGACAGAAAAGATGAGTGATGATACAGAATAGATTCTGACTTAAGTATATATCCTGAAGTCTTCCCTTTTCCACACCAAACCTTAGACATTAGAAAAACACAAAGAAGACAAGCAGAGGGGAAGCCGCAGCATCCAGGGCTCCAGCATCAAGTCAGGTGCCTTCTTTAAATTGTCAAGGTACAACCAGGAATCAGTAGCTAACCAAAGGTAGATTAACACTTCAAGAGAGACAGTGGATAAAATACATCAAAGACTCACAATGAGGGCAAAGGTAAGAGCAAGCAAAACAGTAATTCAAATATATCCTTAATATCCTCAGAACAATACAGAAAGAAATGGTATATAAGAACCAATAACAGGCAGGTATACAAAGTAATAGAGTAGATGGCATAAAAGAAAAACTTAGAGATGGAAGACAGGCTCAGATATTCCAATTCTTTATAGAATTCAGAAGGAAGGAAAAGAGGCAATTTTGTGTGTATGACTCTGGGGATTGAACCCAGGGCCTCACACAAGGTAGCAAGTGCTCTACCACCTTTTTTATTTTTGGGGGGGACAGTGTACGGGGCATCAAACTCAGGACCTTGTGCTTGCCAGGCAGGCAACTATGCTGCTGAGCTATCTCCCCAGCTGTAGTGCTCTACCACTGAGCTAAACAAACTTTTGTTTTGTTTTGAGACAAGGTCTGTGCTGGCCTTGAACTCACAGCCATCCACGTGCTATCCTGCCCAGCTTAAGCTGGTTTTTCTAAAAATTTAAGACAGAGCCTCATCCATGCCGCCCTTGTACTTATGATTTTTCTGCCTCAGCTTGCAGAGTAGCTGGGATTACAAACATACACCACCAGCATCACCACATCCAGCTATGAAAGAAACATTTGATACAATAATGACTACGGAGCTGGGGAGATAGCTCAGTAGAATAAGCACCTGCCTGGCAAGTGCAGGGTTCTGAGTTCAATCCCCACTACCACAAAACAAAAACAAAAGCAAAACACCACAACACAATAATGACTAAGAATATCCTAGGGGCTGGTGAGATGGCTCAGTGGTCTAAAGCACCTACTTAGAACAAGCTAAGCTAAGCAAAAGCACAGCGACCGCGGTTCAATCCCCCAGCACCACATGCCAGCCAGCCCCGCCCCCTGGTGGGCTGAGCTGGACACACACACACACACACACTAAATAAATAAATAAATAAATAAAAGAATATCCTAGAATTAAAAGAAATGAATGCTGAGATCAAAAAAGCCAACCTGGATACAAAAAACAAAAAGCTGTCTAATTACATCTGACCAAAGTTAAACAGTACTAAAAACAGAGAACATGCTGGGCTTGATCACACAAACCTGTAAAATCAGCAACTCAGGAGGCTGAGGCAGGAGAATTGCCAAATTCAAGCCCAGCATAAGCAAGTGAGACCCTGTCTCAACATAGCTCACTGGTAGAGCATGTGCCTAGTATAGTTTCAATCCTACGACCACATAATTCAAACCAAACCAAACCCTACAAAATACAAAATGACCAGACACAGATGATAAAGAAATGAGAATCAGATTAGCTCAGACTTTACATCCTCAATGGTAGATAAAAGATAATTAGCTCAGAAATTAAAATACTATTGCACTGCCCTTAACTAGAAGAGGTAATTAAGTAATGAGAAAACATTTTTATTATTATTTTTAATATTTTATTTATTTGGTACAGGGTCTCACTACACAGCTCAGACTCCTAGTGATCCCCCCATCTCAAGTCTCCACAGAACTGGGATTACAGGTGTGTGCAACCATGTCCAGTTTCTGTGGCCAGCTCAGTGCAGGGCCGGCACAGCACACAGTACTGAGGATTGAACTCAAGTCTCTGCACTTGCCAGGTGGGCACTTAGACTATCGAGCTATCTCCCCAGCTCGAGAAAACATTTATTTATTTATTTATTTATTTATTTATTTATTTATTTTTTAAATGTATTTGGTACTATAGGGTCTCACTACTTATATCAGACTCATGTGATTCTCCTTTTTTCAGCCTCCCAAGTGTTGGGATTACAGGCACACGCCATCATGCCCAGTCTCAACTGCTGTCTCAGCGCACCCAGGGGTGGAGCCTGTGCGGCACATCAGGGATTGAACCCCGGTCGCTGCACTCTGCCTTAAGAAGGCATTTTAGTCCACTAGAGAAAACATTTTCAAAAAGTCACCTGTTTGAAGCCAGACATTGTGGCACCTGCCTGTAATCCAGGTGCTCAGAACTCAGAAGGCTGAGACAAGAGTATCAGTGCAAATTTAAAGCCAGCCTGAACTGTAAAGTGAGACCCTATCTCCAAAAAACAGAATAAAGAACAGAAGGACGAAAGAATGGATGGATGGGGCATGTAGCTCAATGCAGGTCCTGGGTTCTACCCTCAGTAATGCAGAACAAAAAGACTTCCTAGACTATGTTTTTGTAGGCTCTAATTAAAAATATGTGTGGGTGTCAGCTGGGTATAGTTGCCTACAGTTTCACTACTCCAGAGGCTGAAGTAGGAGGATCTCAAGGTTCAAGCTCTATCTCCTAATAAAAAGGATTGGGGCATAGCCGGCAGTTATTTGGTGCAATGGGCACATGGGATAATTCTGGAGGTACAGAGGTCTGGAAAGCTATTGAGAGAACACACTTGAAGGATTGCTAGGAATTTCACAGGTAGACAAGGTGGAACAAGGCAAAGTCATGGGAAGAGGGCAGAGAATGGAAAGGAGATGGAGCATGGGGAGGACTTCTGGGAAGAGCAGCCTGGCGTGGCATGAGTGTGGCTAACATGGATGGGTCCCCCTCTCACCAAAGAATTAGTTATTACAACAACACTTCCACATGACCTTGCAATTAAGAATGTGAAAAGTCAGGGGCTGGGGAGATGGTTCAGTAGAATAAGCGCTTGCCTGGCAAGCAAAAGGGCCTGAGTTCAATCCCCAGTTCTG